GACTCGCACCAAACACTCTGCCTAGCCACTGCTTCCCGGAAGTTGGCTCAGGAGTCAAGAACGTAAGAGAGTTTTGCGGGCGCGTTTGCGGAATTTATAGTGGCGAGAAGGGGGGCGAGGGAGAGAGAAGGCAGGGGGAAAGTCGAAGTGTAGGGAAAGAAGCAGGAGGAGAAGACTTTGAGAAGAGCGCTCCGTGGAGGCCATGTTGATCCTTCGAAACTCAAAGTTCAACCAATCAGATTCGTCGCGCAATAGGAAGATCCTATTGATCCACGCACCTGATTGGTGAGCGGGAGTTATCGAAGGATCGATCAGGCGTCGTGTGCTGGACTCAGAGGGTGAGAAGAGAAAAGGCGCGAGAAGTAGCGCAAGACGGGTCCAAGATTCAGATGATCAAGAAAGGGAAATGGGCGCGCAAAAAGCAAGGCGGGAGAGAGAGAGAGAGAGAAAATCAGTTACGAGGAGAGAGAAAGAGGAGGGAGAAAGGGGAGGGAGTGATGCGGGGCACAGAGAGGAGAAAGTTTTTGCATGTGTGGCGCCATCAACAAAAAGAGAGAAAAAGGCACCGAAACAGTTACAGCTTGCCTCTGTCCTAATTCAAAAACTGAAATCACCATATCTGTGCGCGAAAAAGCGACGTGGGAAAAGAAAATCCTACGCTTATTCGTATTCGCACAAAATTCCGAGAGTTTTCCCCAACGCGACCATGAACATTCACACACAAAAAGGATGCGTCGAAGTTCCGCTTATCCCGACATTCCCAACTGTCGGACCCAATTCCCAGTGCGCTCGCTAAGGCGCACGTAATTTCCTATGTATTTCCCGAATTGCAAAAAGGAAAAGCAGAACCCGAGAATCGAAAAAGCTTCCAAAAGATAGGGGCCAAAAAATTCGGCACCCGAATCAAGAAAACGAAGCGGGGTTTTTATGGGGTTGGTTTGATACAAGCAAAAGAAAGGGTACGAAAGATAGCACGGGCTCGGGAGGTAGTTCGTCACAGACCTAATCTCGGATTAGGGTTGGAAGCTAGGGTTAAGAGGGGCAACGAGGTATGTGGATGCTGCCCCCACCTGGTTTGGTCATGTAGGTTCGACGTCAGACCTGACCAGGTTTCTTGAGTGATTGTATGGGGTGGCAAGACAGAAGGGAGGCTGGCTGAAGAGAGCGAGAGGGACTAGAGACTGAGAGGTACTCGCACCTGGAATCAGGTTTTCATGAAGACATTGAGTGACTTTTTTATCCCCTCAAGAGGGAGACTTCACCGAAGGCTGTAATATCTGCATTGAGGAGCTACAAGGTCCTACTTTGGTCTTCAACATCAACGGAGGATCCGACGTCTTAACATGGTTGTACGAGAGCCCAGTTAGTCATGCAAGGACACTTCGTGTAGTGGTAGCTAGGCGTCAGGAGGACCTATGAGAGAGGGGGGTGAGTCGTTATTTCATGTTCAGAGGCTCGGCATCACAGGTAAGTGTCGTGTGACTTGGGTATGCCCACAACTGCCAGTGGTTGCTTGATGCTTCATGGCCTGTTGGGGTTGTGTCGGGCTCCCTTCCTCTTCTCGACAGTCTTGGTTGTGTGTGTGAGCATGTGGATTGCTTTCTCACCTGATGGATGGATGGATGATGTATCTTGCTTGTTCCAAATGAGATATACATTGCATTGTCTTTTCACTTCTGAAGGGTTATGGTTAGTAGGTTTTTGCTGAAGTTATCTTTTGTTTTTCAGTACAATAGAGGCAATTTGGGACCATCTTGGGACACCCTTCTCGTTGGTCCTAGTCCACGACCTACTTGGGACCCTTCGTGACTCAGTGGGACCAGACCCCAACGGGACAGGACCCTTTGGCCTCAAATCTCTTGCCATCAGTTGTAATCCTCTGCTCCGCTGGAATTCATGGAGACACACAGATAGTAAGGACATTCCTTTCAAGGGGATCTTGACTGGTCTTAGTGCATGTTCTCGCATACTGCCCCGCGTCTGGCTCGGCGACTGTCTGCGTTCCCTCGTAATCTCCATTGATTAAGTTAGTTGTTCTTTTGTCGGACTTATTCGTAGTAGATGTTCCATGTTGCGTCAGACAAGAGGGGATCTCCAGTTTGATCTGACCTGACTCATTCGTTAAGTCAGACTTCTCTTTGGTTTTTTTTATTATTTATTTTATTGTGCTACGTGAATGTCGTTCTCTAGTCCAAATGAATTGCCGCTCTGGCTAGGAGTTCTACCTTCTCTTTTGTGATTTATTTTTATTTCTTTATCTAAGCTATCTATGTCCAGTATTGAGATGCGTGCGCAGAAAGCAGAAAGAGAGAGAAGGGGGAGAGAAGATGTCCTTTGCTAGAGTGTGAGAAAGGGAAAGAGGAGCGTTCATCCAAACGTGAGCAAAGAGCAGACCGCTCTTGAGAAATCTATTGACACCCTATCCTCCAGCATGGCAAACATGTCATTTGCTTAATGGCAGGCCATACTGGACGCAGCGAATGGGAGTGAGAAACCGTTCTTTCATAAACTTTATGAGGATGTATTATATATATATAGAGAGAGAGAGGCAGAAGCAGCAGCTAAAGCAAGAAGAATTGATGCCCAAGTGGCTCTCCTTGCTGTGTCGGAAATCAGTAATGCCCAGTTCAAAGAGAAGTTAATTGTTGTCGTAGCAGCCTTGCAAAGAACTCAAGTGAACACCATAAAGAAGAAGATGATATGAGCTTTATTATCGTGACGCCATCAACTTCTCCTCAGCACAATCCCTCCACCAATAGCAGAAGTACTCAATCCTTCCAATCATACGTTACTC